GTAGTAGTAGTAGTAGTGGTGCAGCAGAAGAAGAAGTAGTAGTGGCAACAATGGCTGTTATAGCAGCCCCTGCCCCACGCCCACCTGGGCCAGAGGCATAAAACGTAGTCTCGGCTGAGCTCTTTCCTTTCCTGAATTCTTGCTCAGGGACTCAAACCAAGTCATCATAAGAAGGAAACCTTCTTATTGACCCTGGATCCCTATTGTGGTCATTCAATACAAGTTAATCAACCCTGAATCCCTGTAGAAACCTTACAGCAGGAACCGGTCAATGGAACCCGAAACCCTAAACCCTTAAAGAAGCCCAGTTTCCAGCTATCAGAAGCGTTCTTGACATTGAAAACCGTGAAGCGATGCATCCAGTCCTCGTCTTCTGGGCTAAAGGTTTCGGATCTAGGGTTCAGGGTTTAGGTTTTAGGGTTTGGGGTTTAGGGTTGAGGGTTTAGGGTTCAAGGTTTGGGGCTCGAAGCTTTTGGAGCTAAAAAAACTGTTTTGGAGCTAAAAAACTGGACGCAACATCCCTCCGATATCAAGGAACCTTCCAGTATCCCACGTCCAGTCCGCAAATCTTCCCCTGGAAGTATTTCTCTGGCATCTCTTCTCCGCCGGTGTTGTGCTCCGGCAGGGGGACGAAGCCTCGACCGACGAAGTTCAGCTGGTCGATGTTATCCCCGCGGCGCCCGGCGATCGAGTGAATAGGGCCGTGATCCCTGGTTTTTTTGCTTGCATAGACCCACTTCTGTCGACGGTCCTGTTTCAAGTCCATCTGGTCGTTGCCAGTAAGCCATCCAGACAACGTTGGCAGCTGAATGAACACCGGCAGTGGATCAGGTATCAATTTGCTGGTCTCTTCTCCGGGGATCAACCGACGGATGTAAGGATAAGTGGAGATCATCGGGACGAACTCTTCGATGAACATTTGCTGCATGTGGCGTTCCTTAACGTGCTCCTTAAACCTCTCCTCGAGTATACCATAGGGCCACTTATCATTTTTTGCCTTCTCTGTCTTCCATTTCTGCTCGAAGCCTGCAAATATATAAGTTAGGGCTTATGGTCTCGGGCTTAATGAAGAAATCTCAGACACAACAAACGAAGTACCACTCCTGCTGCTGATCTATGATAAGGATCGAGAACTACAAGCACGAGCCCGTTTCAGCATCGTTGCTGTACTGACTGCGAACCCGTCTATATGACTGCACTGGTTCTAGAGGCTTTCGCTCTTACTACGAGCACACTGTGCTTTTGTCAGGGCGCACCCAAGCCTGTGAGCTTGTCAATCAACGTTATAGAAGCCTGGTAGTAGTAGACGAAGCTTCCACCACCACCGGATTTATATCTCCACTGCTTGATTTCGAGTCGGTCTTTTCGCCACGTCTTCCAGTCATCCATGATCGTCTTGGCTGTCACATCGAGGTTTTCCATCTGTTCCTGTGCCCAAAAGCTTCACTTGAGATGACCGCAACGCAGACATTACAAATCTTTCCACACCCTGAAACAAAGCCGGAAGCGTTAAACCCTCAAGTTAACTAACCTCTACCTCAAACCCTAAAATCCTAAACCTTAAACCCCTCTACTGATTCAAAAACGATGTTCTACCAAAAAACCTGACTCTCCAAGAACCCAAAGACTTATGCAAAACCGCAAACCATTAATATGAAGCCCGTATAGGAAACCTTTGCTATGCAAGCAGTAGACCCCAAACAAAACAAAGAGCACCGAACAGTCCGAGCCAATGCCATATAGCAACCTGATTAAGATACCCTGGGTCTTTATTTGAATTCTTTCGATGACTTCTAATATGCTGGGGTTATAAGGCCAGGGTTTCTTAATCAGCTTCCCCCTAAACCCTAAACCCTAGACCTTAAATAAACCCCTCAACCATTCCAATGAATTCCAGAGGCTCCCAAGACAGCCCTAAGACTCCAAAGTGCTTCGGGGTTTAAGGTTTTCGGGCTTTAGGGTTCAGAGTTTTCGGGTTAGGGTGTAAAGTTTTTCGGGTTTAGAGTTTTGGGGTTTAGGGCTTAAGGCTTTTTGGTTTAGAGTTTTCGGGTTTAGGGTTGCAGGGTTTTGAGTTTAGGGCGTAGGGTTTTGGGGCTGGGTTTACGGCTTAAGCGCTTAAGGGTTTAAGGGTTTAAGGCTTTAGGGTTTAGGGTTTTCGGGTCTCGGGTCATAGGGTTTAAGGCTTCAGGGTGTCAGGTGGCAGGGTTAAGCTCCTTCTCAGCTTCCCTTATAGATTGTGGAAACCACTGCTCCACACGCACTGATTGTATGTACCGCTAAGTGGTAGAGGAACTATACCATTGCAGTTCAGCTACACTCTTTTTCCTTTAGAGCACTGGCAGCAGTCGTGTACACCAAGGATGAAAGTTGACACGTGCATATTCTCAGCTGAGGCGGAAGCGTGCACGGCGGCTGGACTGATGCTTGGCTCGTAAGCTTGTTGTAATTGCAAAGCGGAAGATGCAATCGCAAACGAATTAACTTTTGTCGCGGGGCTTGACAGTCGCGAACGTGCAATTAACAAGGTAGCGATCCAGCAAGCCGGGATTAGGCTTGTGGCGTGAATGCAAGCTACACAAAAGAAGGATTTATCGCGGGACGCTTACTCCATCCTCATTGTGATGAAATCGGAGTTGCTGCATTGGCAACGAAGTTGGGTCCGTAGAGCTTGGTGCCTCGGAGCTTGCAGTTAAAGCATCTTTCCTTCATGTGTGACAAAGTACGGTGCCTTACCCGAATACCAGTGGAAATCAAACCCTTCATCCGCGCTTCCTAGTTCGGGAACCTCAAGCTTCACAGACTTGTTGCCCTGAACAGGACCATTGGCTGCGATCAACGATACAGGCCGCGATGATCTTTCTACCGGGGTATCGGGGAGGCCAATGCCCAGTGTTAGGTTTGATCGCGAGGCCCAGATGATAGCAATCGAACCCGTAGAAAGCATTGTTACCTCCCCAGGGCATACGCACAAACGTTTGCTACAGCCCGGGATTGCCCGAGGCCGGATTCGCAGGACTTAGAAGCGTGCTAGCTTGCGGGCACAACAGTTTCATCGCGTTGTTAGTGTATGTCCCAGGGTATGAAAGCCGATCGTGACTACGAATGCGAAGAAGAAGGCTTCGTGTGCGAATGCTGTGAAAGGATCGTACGACCTGCCTGCGCTGGTTTGGTGCCAGGGCTAGAGTTTCTGGCCGACATGGGTAGTGAGGAAGACTTAATCAGCAAGTCAGACCGCGAAGCGCACTTCAGGTAAAAGATCGTCTTCCCGACCCATAGATCATCCGGCTTCTCGGGGGTGCCCTGCCTCCAGTCATACTGCTTGTTGGAAACAAATGGCTGAACCGGAAGAACCCTTTCGACCTTCACGTGACCCCTCAACCTCTTCGTGTTAATCGGGCATGAGTTGTCCGGGACATACCAACCCTTGCGATACGTCTAGTGGTGCTTTATCAGCTTACCACCCATGAAGTCGAGCTCCTATGAATCTTCCAAATTGTTCTGAGGTCCACGCGATGCCGCTGCCGCGAAGGCGCAAGCTTCTGGCTTGCCAGGTTTCCCTTAGATTCTGCTCTCGGGCTCCTTCCCGCACGAGGCGCGGGAGAATTGGCCCTTGAAGATCCCGTGCAGCAGGTGCGGCCTCCGACTTCGGGGCTGGGGTTGACGGCTTATCAACATCCTTGGGCTGCAAAACGGCATCTGTCACCACGGGTGCATGTTCCTTCTTTCCAGAATTTGCAACTCTTGTTGATTTTCTTGGGTGCTCTGTCTCCCTTTGGGGAGACAGACAATTTCTTGCGCAAGAAAGGACAACTGTTGCCACGCTTGCAAGTCCCCTGCAGGAAGTCATAGCATACTCTTTTCGGGCTTGTGGATCGCGACTTGTTGGGACTTGGTGATCTACATCGTCCCGGGGACTTTGGCCTTGAACCTCAAGGTCTTTGCGATCGTTCTCGGCCTCTTCTTCTAGAGGGGCTGCTGGAGTGCGGGGATGCAGCAGCACCATACTTGTCTCCATGAGACCGGGCAATTCGGTCCCTGTTCTTTCTTTTTCTTTGTCGAGTCAGGAAATCCTTCATCGAGTCTGAAGGTGTGCTGTTCACTACCCTCTCTTGCCCTATCATAGATGTCAAGGTCGTACTTGAGCCTCTTCGACTGCTTGCGCTCTCGCAAGAAGATGTCGCTCAGTGTTGTCTCGTCCGGCATGTGGCTCAACCCAGACGTCACACCCTCCCAATTATCAACTAGAACTGCTCAAGTCACCAAGGAGTCTCACCTCAAGTAGATCCTCCACCGAATAGAGCGATCCTACCTCCTCGTTCGTTTTGAAACATTGGTCGAAGAAGTACAGAGGCTCTCAGCAAACGACGCAAGGCTCAGAAGAGAGTTGGATGAAGCCCAACAAACACACATCTCAGACGCACCTGATTCACAACTGCAGGAGCAAAGGTTTGCACAGAGCATGCAGGAACAAGCGACACAGGCAATCCTGATGTCACAGCAGGAAATGGTACAACAGTTCCAAGCAAACTTTGAGCAGCACACAAAAGGAGAGAGACAGAGGAACAAAGGACTGTCGTTTTCGAACTTCAGGAACAGAACGAAGACCTTCAGGATCGGTTGGATGCGGCAGACCGCACTTTGACGAAGAGTTTGGAGAGGTGCTGCGCTTCTCTCACACTTTGAAACAAGCTCTTCAAGGGAAGCTACCTTCTCAAGGTGGTTATCGGCTCGTTGCCCAAGGTCGGCAATGCTGTATTCTGCAGCCTGCTCGACGGACTCAAGTGATTCCGTGTGTGCTACCTCCACTCGCGCTTCCAGAGTTTTTGAACTCCATCCTTACTTGTGTCATATGCACTTCCAGGGTTTGCGGTGGGTACACATTGTACTGCTGATAAACAACTGGAGCACCACCGCTGAGCAGGTTTAGACTACGAATATTTATGTCTCTGTCCGCCCCTTTGCGGCTACTCATCCCTGGCAGCTGCAATGATGCACGATTGCCGGCTTCCTTTATGGATCTGTAAGATAGTTCGCTTGGCGAATTCGGAATCTCTGTAGGTTCAGGAGAGCTCATGCACTGATTGCCAGCACACTTGCAAATACCAGGCCGTAGGCTACACGGCTGATAACCTATAGATTGGGGAAACCAATGCTCACACGCACTGATTGTATGTACCGTTAAATGGCAGAGGAACTATAGCATTGCAGTGCAGCTACACTCCTTTTCTTCTAGAGCACTGACAGCAGCAGTCGTGTACACAAAGGATGAAAGCTTACACGTGCATATTCTACATCCCTAAACCAGTACCACTCTCCGGCGGGATGATAATTGGGAGCCTTAGCACACACACGCACACACACAGCACTCTGGCGGGAACGTGGGTCCCAGCCTCAAATGGTCCGGGAGCGATTTCTGGAGGCGCAAACACGAGTCACAGCCAGAATCTGCACGGCGTTGCGCCAGCAGCACGATTCGGATTTGCACGAGATTGTCGGCGGGAAGACCATGCGAAGTCACGGCACTGTGGCGGGGGCACGGTTTCGAACTTAGTCAAATTTCGGAAACCTCTTGGACTTGAACGGGAAAACCCCAAAATGTTACCACGTTGTTCACGGAATAAAACTCGTAATTACTCAGATGCCTGTGCTCTACTGGGGAATAAAACTGCAGTTACCCGTGAAGACTCCCATATAGATGGAACCCCTGAACCCTCGAACCCCGAAACCCTCCTCCCCTAAACCCTCAAACCCTAAATTCCTAAACCCGAAACCCTGAAGCCCAGAGGCCTGGAAACCTTCATTGAAATCATCTAGAGACCCTTAACAAGGTCTTAACAGGGACCCTATTGCGATTACTAAGGGCCCTATATTAGAGACTCCGTGATAAAGTAAGGCCCCCATGCTAAGATACTAAGCCCTAAGAAAGCCCTTATATAGTAACCGTGTAGACCCCTTTAAAGCAGCTATCGCTTCTAAGGTTTGAGAAGGAACCCTAAACCATAAAAACTGAACCCTAAACCCTAAAACCCTAAAACCCTAGACCCTAAAACCCCAAAAACCCGAAACCCTAAACCCCTAAAACCCTAAACCCGAAAACCCGAAACCCTAAAACCCTAAAACCCTAAAACCCTTAAAACGCTTGAAACCCTTAACCCTAAACCGGTCCTTCATTTTTACCAAGACATCCTCCGAGACCTTCTTGGCCTCGGGTTCGAACGCCTCCTGCTCGAGGCGGACGTTGTAGAGCTGCCGCCACCTGGGTTGGGATCTTACGGCTTTGGGCTTTAGGGTTCAAGGTTTGAGGTTTAGGGTTCAGGGCTTAGGGTTTAGAGTTCAGGTTCAGGGCTGAGGGTTTAGGGTTTGGGGTTCAAGCATTTGGGGTTTAGTGTTTAGCATTTCATAAATGGCCTTTTAACGGTTTCTTGAAGAATTCCAGCCAGGGGCCTGTAAGGGAGCTGTTGATGGTTCTTGGCGAGACTGTAAGGGCTTCTTGTTTTATCGGGCATGTGTTGTGCCGCATTTAAGGATAGAAAGGGATTTTTGGGTTGATAGAATTACTTTATCGGTTCCAAGCGGAACGTTACAAGAGTCTTGTAGGGTTTGCTTCTTCGGGGTTTGATAAGGGTGAGATGATGTGTGGCAAGGGTTCTGTAAGGTCGTAAGGTCATTCCCCAAACGGTCTGATAATAATGTAGGGTCGCTTCCCCAAACGGTCTGAGAACAATGTAGGGTCGTTACATAATGCAAAGAGGATGTAGCCGTGAAGTGCGTCCGGCTGCGGCGCTCTCGGCGGGTACGCGGTGGGTGGCGTTGTGAACATGTTCGACTACAATCGCCTTCTTGCCACAGTCTGGTTTGGGCCCCGTCCACCGGATGCCGAATTCACTGGATTTCCGAATCACAGTCCCGCCTTTGTCGTGCATATTTTGGGGCGCACGTCGTCTTCCCGCCACAGTCCCATATTCGCCTGCTCCACAGCACCGTGCACGAATCGGCTGTGATTGATATCTATGCAGGCAAAAGTGTTCTCAGCCACACTCCGCGCAGTCTGGAGTAGGACTCGCGTTCCGCCACCGTGCGGTGTGTGATCTGGTGTCAAACTATGCAACCCACGAGCGTGTGGTACTCCTTCGAGGAACCCGTGATGGAACCAACGTCAATCCCTGCCGCCTTAAACCCTAACACCCTAAACCCTGAAGACCCTAAACCCTAAAATCCTCAAACACTAAAACTTGGACCGTAAACCGCGAGCCCTAAACCCCTGTGAATGAAGAACACATTCATTAAATAAGAGACGAGCTCATGATGGACTGAGAAAGAATGAGGGACGTGAACGAGCCTGTGGGTGTCTCCTCCTTCATTACCTTCACTTCGTCTTTCACCCACCACTGCATTATTTATAGTGGCGGGAAACCATGTGAAGTACTGAAAGAAGAAAGCGAGCCACACGGTGACTTCACGCCTCGTTCCCATTGCCATCACTTCCCTCTCTCGCATATGAATAATGGTTGATTCACTCCCTGTCGTCTCATTATTAAAGATGCAGTAAAGGGGAGTGGGTAAGGGAAGGGGACCTGTGAACCTGGGGCTGACAGCGGTTAACTCGCGGCCAACAAACTAATCCTCGACAGGGAAATCTCGTCCCTGGTCTTCTTCCGTTCCTCGCTTCACTTTTCCCTTGTGTTTCACTCGCCTGTAACATAAGGAAGAGCCCCGAGACGGCACCAAACATGTAATGAATGAAGCCTGTTAACCGTTCCCAACCCATTCGCCTTTGCTTTCACCTGCAGTTGCATGGGGTTTGATGGGAACGATTAAAGGACCACGAGAACAAGGACACTTTCTACCTGGATTTGCCGGTGCCTCACCATCCGTTCACCTTATTCATTCCACTGCGCTCCATTCGTTCCATCACAAGAAAACCACAAGATAAAAACACTAAAAGGAAGAGGAACAACACGACTAGGGGTTGAATGCGATTCGGCTTGTTGAATGTATGAGGACTGCGATGTCGTCAGTACCAACGATGAACTGATCCATATGTTCATCTGTTTTAGCAGTGTTTGTGCATACACTCGAACCCAAATGTAAGGAGAAAGCGATAATTTGATGAGTTTTAGTTTCAATTCTTCTTCCACAGACACTTCCAAACATCCTACGAGTATGTATATTGCCTACCGAGGCTGTGTGATACAGAATTGAACCAGGCACACTGTATTGTGAAAGAAAGCTGGTTAAATAGACCCTAAAGGTAGCGAGCTCATACATATATACATTTATGAGCCCGATATGTTTAGGGTCTACTTCACTAGGCCGGAAAATATACAAAAAAATCACTAGTCAAAAACGATACCAGTACATACAAATATAAAATGGATTAAAAAATTATGCAATGGTGATCGACTCATCCTATTAGAAAATGGCAGTACATAAGGCCACGTCCGATAGTACGTACAATACTGATTTGCAAATCCAGCGCGCCTCTCTCAAGCATAGATACATATACATAGATACATATA